AAAAAAAAAAAAAAAAAAAAAAAAAAAAAAAAAAAAAAAAAAAAAAAAAAAAATACAAACTGCTTTCGTGACTGGACCGCCAGATGAACAGGGGCATCCAAAGACAGAAACCAACTGCCAACAAATTGCATTTTCCTTTTTCACAAACAAGATAGACCCACTCCAAGAATGTTCTGGCGGCCCCAACCCTATACCCTAACCATTAGGGGCAAGGGGCAACATGAAATCTCCCCTTCACAGAGAGAGGAAAACTATGCTTGCAGGGGTCCCCTCTAGATAGTCTTAGGAGTGGGTAGTGGAAGGTAAACAAACAGAAGTTGAGAGAAGAATATAGACAGTTGTGATCACCCCAATAATAATAATAATAATTAAAAAAAAAAGAAAAAGAATGTTCTGGAATCCAGCGGCCTAGCTCAATTGGTTAGGCATGCAAGTGGCATTCTGGAGGTCGTTGGTTCAATCCCCATGGCCGCCTGTAGCACTCTCGGTGCCAACTAGCTGAGATGGTCAGCTGGATCCTCCCAGTCCGTATTAGTAAGGCCTTCAGCCGACACGGGTGTGAGTGCGCATGTGAGTGGGTTGCGTGTGGTGTGTGGGAGAGTGTTGGCTTTAGACACTACTGGTACTCGATGGGGGTGGGGGAAGATGAAAAGGGAGGCACAGTTACTGGCAAATGCTCGGTCCTTGTGTTAGCCGGGCCCCCACCGGCGGCCCCAACCCTGTACCCTAAACACTAGGGCAAAGGGGCAAACATGCCATTACCACCCCTCTCCACCGAGAGAGGTAACCTCCCTTCACCGAAGAGAGGTAGAAAGCTATGCTTGCAGGGGTCCCCTATATAGCCTTAGGAGTAGCGGTAGGTTCGGAAAAGACAGATATGTTCCATGACATGGCAGAACGCCTGTTTTCTGGTGCTTCAGCCTTTCAAACACATACTATGGTAAAGTACAATGGGCGTCATGAGGATAGCTGGTGGATGGCAGAGGCTAGGGGACGGAGGGAGATTCCACTGGTGCCCCCCGGTGGTCCCCCCCCCAATACCCGGCCCTGCTGCAGGCTAGGTATGGAAGAGTAGAGTGGATATGATATGCTGGACCCGGTTTCCAGCACCTTGGCATCACTCTCATTATGGTACTGTGCAGCAAGATGTAATTATGGGACGCTGGACCCGGTTTCCAGCAGGTGTCGCTCCCCACCAATAGATGGAGCGGCCAGGCAAAGCCTCAATCCCGGTGGTTCTCTTACCACCACCAGGATAGAGGTCTTGCACAAAGGGCTCAA